AGAACACCCTGGAGATGACGTCATCATCATCATCATCATCGTCAGGTCATCAAACCTCGTCTCGATCACTTGTCTGTCTCACTATGCCGCCTTTACAGTAGCCGTCTAGTCTTGGTCTCTTGACGTAGTCTCTTGTGTCAGTCTCGCGTCAGTCTCTTGTGTCAGTCTCTTGTGTCAGTCTCGCGTCAGTCTCTTGTGTCAGTCTCTTGTGTCAGTCTCTTGTGTCAGTCTCGCGTCAGTCTCTTGTGTCAGTCTCTTGTCTAAGTTTCTTGTCTCGGTCTCTTGTGTCATTCTCTTGTCTCAGTCTCCTTGCCAGTCTCTTGTCTTGGTCTCTTGTCTTGGTCTCTTGTCACGGTCTCTTGTTCCGGACTCTTATCGCAGTCTCTTGTCTCGGTCTCTTGTCTTGGTCTGTTGTCTCAGTGTCTTGTATTAGTCCCTTGTCTCAGTCTCTTTTCTCAGTCTCTTATCGCAGTCTCTTGTCTCGGTCTCTTGTCTCGGTCTATTCTCGGTCTCATGACGTAGTGTCTTGTCGCTGGCTCTTGTCTCGGTCTCTTGTCTCGGTCTCTTGTCTCGGTCTCTTGTCTCACTATCTTGTCTCTTAGCACCTTGTATTGGTCTCTTGTCTCGGTCTCTTATCTCGGTCTATAGTCTCAGTCTCTTGTCTCGGTCTCTTGTCTCAGTCTCTTGACGTAGTCTCTTGTCTCGGTCTCTTTTCTAAGTCTCTTGTCTCTATCACTTGTCTCTGTCATTATACGAACCGCCTTAAGGAATGTGGGTGTGGGTAGGAATGAAATGAAACTCACATAATAATATCAATCGCCAGTGTATTAGGTCTGCCGGTAGTAGTGCGGCGCCACCTCGAGCAGCCACGCCTCCTGGGTCACCGTCAGTTCACGCATGAACGTCTTGTCGCCGGCGCTTTGGACGCTTGCGAATACCACCCTGGGATGATGTCGTCATCATCATCATCTACTTGACTTACACTTTTACAGTTGCGGTCTCTCGTTTCGGTCCTTGACTTAGTCTCTTGTCTCAGTCTCTTGTCTCGATCACTTGTCTCTGTCACTATGCGAGTCGCCGCCTTTACAGTAGCGGTCTTCTGTCTCGGTCTAGTCTTGGTCTCTTGACGTAGTCTCTTGTCTCGGTCCTTGATTTAATCCTTGTCTTAGTCTCTTGATTTAGTCTCCCTTGTCCGAGTCTATTGTCTCGTCTCTTGTGTCAGTCTCTAGTGTCAGTCTCTTGTGTCAGTCTCTTGTGTCAGTCTCGCGTCAGTCTCTTGTGTCAGTCTCGCGTCCAGTCTCTTGTCTCGGTCTCTTGTCTTTGTCACTATACGAGCTGCTGCCTTAACCGATTGAGTCCCAGACGGCACGCGCATTAATTAATATCACACCAATTAATATAATCTATTGTGTCTAGATTCGCAGAGCTTGAAGGATTAAGGAATGTGGGTGTGGGTAAGAATGAAATGAAACTCACATAATAATATCAATCGCCAGTGTAATAGGTCTGCCGGTAGTAGTGTGGTGCCACCTCGAGCAGCCACGTCTCCTGGGTCAAANTCGGAACATAAGTTTTTTACTGTTTCGCGGATTTACCCGTCAGTATCTTGTTTCGGTCTCGGTCTCATGTCTCGGTCTCTTGTCTCTGCCACTATACGAGCCGCCTTAAGGAATGTGGATGCGGGTAGGAATGAAATGAAACTCACATAATAATATACAACGCCAGTGTATTAGGTCTCTGCTACTATACGAACCGTGCGACAGAGACAAGTCTAATCTCGGTTTTTTGACGTAGTCTCTTATCTCGGTGTCCTGTTTCAGTCTCTTATCTCGGTCTCTTGTCTCGGTGTCTTATCTCAGTCTCTTGTCTTGTCTCGGTCTCTTGTCTCTGTCACTATACGAGCTGCTGCCTTAAGGAATGTGGGTGTGGGTAGGAATGAAATGAAACTCACATAATAATATCAATCGCCAGTGTATTAGGTCTGCCGGTAGTAGTGCGGCGCCACCTCGACCAGCCACGCCTCCTGGGTCACCGTCAGTTCACGCATGAACGTCTTGTCGCCGGCGCTTTGGGCGCTGGAGAACACCCTGGAGATGACGTCATCATCATCATCATCATCAGCAGGTCATTATCTTAGTATCTACTTTACTTGATGGAATCGAGCTTTACTTGGACTGATGCTTATCATTGCCTAAAGTAAATTCAAGTAACAGTTGCGGTCTCTTGTCTCAGTCTCTTGTGTCAGTCACTTGTCTCTGTCACTATGCGAGCCGTCTCCCGTCTCGGTTTAGTCTTGGTCTCTTGACGTAGTCTCTTGTCTCAGTCTCTAGACTTGGTCTCTTGTTACGGTCTCTTGTCTCGGTCTGTTGTCTCAGTCTCTAGTGTATTAGTCTCTTGTCTCGGTCTCTTGTCTCGGTCTCCTATTTCAGTCTCTTGTCTCGGTCTCCTATTTCAGTCTCTTGTCTCGGTCTAGTCTCGTTATTTTGTCTCGGTCTCTTGTCTCAGTCTCTTATGTCAATCTCTTGTCTCAGTCTCTTGTGTCAATCTCTTGTCTCGGTCTCTTGTCTCTGTCACTATACGAGCTGCTGCCTTAACCGATTGAGTCCCAGACGGCATTAATTAATGTCACAAGTCACAACAATTGATAATCTATTGAGTCTAGATTCGCGGAGCTTGAAGGATTAAGGAATGTGGGTGCGGGTAGGAATGAAATGAAACTCACATAATAATATCAATCGCCAGTGTATTAGGTCTGCCGGTAGTAGTGCGGCGCCACCTCGAGCAGCCACGCCTCCTGGGTCACCGTCAGTTCGCGCATGAACGTCTTGTCGCCGGCGCTTTGGACGCTGGAGAACACCCTGGAGATGACGTCCTGATCATCATCATCTACTTGACTTATTATATGCCCGTTTTCACTATCAATTCCTAATTTTTAAGGGAGCCTTTTGAAAACAAAATCCCTGTGATGTTTTGAATGAAGAATGACTTAAAAATTAGGCTTTGATGATGAAAACGGGCATTAGTGTCTCGGTCTCTTGTCCCAGTATCTTGTTTCGGTCTCTTGTCTCAGTCTCGGCTCAGTCTCTTATCTCGGTCTCCTGTTTCAGTCTCTTATCTTGGTCTCTTGTCTCGGTCTCTTGTCTCAGTCTCTTGTCGCAGTCTCTTCTTTTATTCTTTTTTCTCGGTCTCCTGTGTCAGTATCTTGTCTCGGTCTCCTATTTCAGTCTCTTGTCTCGGTCTCTTGTCTCTGTCACTATACGAGCTGCTGCCTTAAGGAATGTGGATGCGGGTAGGAATGAAATGAAACTCACATAATAATATCAATCGCCAGTGTATTAGGTCTGCCGGTAGTAGTGCGGCGCCACCTCGAGCAGCCACGCCTCCTGGGTCACCGTCAGTTCACGCATGAACGTCTTGTCGCCGGCGCTTTGGACGCTGGCGAATACCCTGGAGATGATGTCATCAGCATCATCATCTACTTGACTTATGCCCGTTTTCACCATCAATCCCTAATTTTTAAGTGACCCCTATGACAATTAATTCTTAAGTGACCCCTATGACAATTATTTGTTACCATAGGGGTCACTTAAAAAGTAGGAATTGATGGTGAAAACGGGCATTACACTTTTACAGTTGCGGTCTCCCGTCTCGGTCTAGTTTTGGTCTCTTGACGTAGTCTCTTGTCTAAGTCTCTTATCTCGGTCTCTTGTGTCAGTCTCTTGTCTCAGTCTCCTTGCCAGTCTGTTGTCTTGGTCTCTTGTTCCGGTCTCTTATCGCAGTCTCGTCTCAGTCTCTTGTCTCAGTCTCTTGTCTTGGTCTGTTGTCTCAGTCTCTTGTATTAGTCCCTTGTCTCAGTCTCTTATCGCAGTCTCTTGTCTCGGTCTCTTGTCTCGGTCTTTTATCTCAGTCTCTTGTCTAGGTCTAGTCTCGGTCTCATGACGTAGTCTCTTGTCGCAGTCTCTTGTCGCAGTCTCCTGTCTCAGTCTCTTATCTCAGTCTCTTGTCTTTGTCTCTTGTCTCTGCCACTATACGAGCTGCCTTAAGGAATGCGGGTAGGAATGAAATGAAACTCACATAATAATATCAATCGCCAGTGTATTAGGTCTGCCGGTAGTAGTGCGGCGCCACCTCGAGCAGCCACGCCTCCTGGGTCACCGTCAGTTCACGCATCAACGTCTTGTCGCCGGCGCTTTGGACGCTGGCGAATACCACCCTGGGAACAAATGGTATGGATTTATTTATCACTAGCAACCCGCCCCTGCTTCGCACAGGTACAAATTACACTTAAAAACCGTCCTCTTGAATCACTCTATCTTTAAAAAAAACCGCATCAAAATCTGTTGCGTAGTTTTAAAGATAAGGGACAGACAGTGAGCGCGTTTAAAAATGTGTGAAAATTTTAGTTTTTGAACGTTTCCCGCTAGGGGCGCTGTACAATCCGTCATACATAATGTCATTTTTGATGAAAAAACACACTCAGCCCTCAGAAAGCGACTTTCATACTATGTAATGATGTTTGTCACTTATTATCCGCTTTGCATCGGAGGGAAGTGGAACCTGAACTTCGAACTCCTCTTATGTTCTTCTGATTAAAATGAAGACCACACGGGAAAAACAAAGAATGTCAAAAAACTACAATTAAGAGAAAAACAGTTTTTAAAGTCAAATGACAGTCTAACTTTTTCCCTGAGTCAAACTTTTACCTTCACTGGTTGGGTTATTGGCGGTCAAGCTGTAGATCCTGGCTACACAGGAGTTACAGCGGTGGGAACGAGAGGTGGGAAATAGTGCCGTCACTGTCACTCACCATTTGGGCTGTTATGTAGCGTGGCGCCTCTGAGGCCGCGATACTCGCAGGTGGTGCTGAGGTAGGTCGCTTGCGGGAGCCTGACAGGCTACACTCGAGTGTTAGTGACTGTGACTCACCACTTGGGCTGTTGTGTGTGGTAGAGACAGCTATCGGGGCTGATGTGTAGCGTGGCGCCTCTGAGGCCGCGATACTCTAGGTAGGTCGCTTGCGGGAGCCTGACAGGCTACACTCGAGTGATAGTGACGTCACTCACCACTTGGGCTGTTGTGTGTGGTAGAGACAGCTGTCGGGGCTGATGTGTAGCGTGGCGCCTCTGAGGCCGCGATACTCTAGGTAGGTCGCTTGCGGGAGCCTGACAGGCTACACTCGAGTGATAGTGACGTCACTCACCACTTGGGCTGTTGTGTGTGGTAGAGACAGCTGTCGGGGCTGATGTGTAGCGTGGCGCCTCGGAGGCCGCGATACTCGCCGGTCGTGCTGAGGTAGGCCGCTTGAGGGAACAGGCCTGACAGGACGCATTTCATCACGCGAATGGTTTTATCTGGAAATATAAACAGGGTAAATCTAGACTGCATCTCACTTAACACCAGGTGCGATTGGGGTCAAATACCTGCCTTGTTATGAATTAAAAAAATTAAAGGACAGGAGCCAAAAAATATGAGACATGTAAAGGCTCCATAAAAGCCAAATTTTATGATTTTCAAATCATAATTTAATTAGAAAAAGCAATTACTTTTTTTTTTTATTAATTGGTCAATTGAAGCAGTCTTAATGATGTATCCTCATGCTCGATGGACCGATGACCTCCAGGGTTTATCCTCCTGATTGCTACTGGATACAAATTCTTCTGTCAAATCTTTCAAGTCAATTACTGGTAGAACAACTGAGGTGGGAGTACTACAATGTCAAAAATCACCTTTTTCTATGCTTTTAAAGTATAAAACCAATGATATTTGTATGCCCCACGTTTAGAACCACCATGTATTCTAATAGGGAACCCATCAAACCTCAAGCGGTCGCCATAATGACACGTAACAATGAGGGCTATCGTTTTTATACTTAACAGTTGGCACCCCTGGCGATTGACAGGACCTTACTCTACAGTGGCGCCATCTTGATGAGTGCAAATGCGATAGTCCTCCTACCACTTTAGCGCTCACCAGTTGGTGCCACTGTCTTCGCTACTAGCAAGTGACGGGACCTTACTCTACAGTGGCGCTAACTGGTGAGCGCTAAAACGATAGCCCTCATTGATTAACGCCCGCATTCACAAACATTACTATGAGGTCTCACAGTGCGCGTGGACGCACAGGGTGACACACGAACCAATCACAGAGCTCTATTCAACGCTGTGCGTTTGATTTGCTGCTTTACTTAAGCAAGCATCGTTTGTGAATACGGGCGTAAGTTCACCTAACGTAAACTCATGGTAAGCACACTGAATGTATTGTTGCAATGGTTGTATTGTAGCCTGGATTTAAAATTACAAAAAATTTAATAATAATTGATGATTTTTATTGAAATAGTATGTTACCTAATCCCAGATCTGGCTGTTCGAAGGTCTTGTTTTTCAATTGGAATTTATTTTTGACTAGTTTCTCTAAGCTGCATCGGATCTCACAGGCCTGGAATAAAGAAGGATATAGAATAGAAGTTAATAATTGACCCTTTTTTAAACTTTCTTCAACAGAACGAAATGTATGCGAGAAAAATCGCAGTCAGAAAAAAATCAATAAGAAATGACTTTTACTAGTTTATTCACCTATTTTGATATAAATGATTAATCCATACTATTTTTAACTTTATCACACTCTTTTTATTAGAACTTCTTTGTAACAAAATATGTATTCAATACTGTTTAATTGGTAGTAATGTTTTCTCTTATGTTGATAGCATGTGAAAGAAATAAAACACAGTCGTTGCAAAAATCTACGTTTGTTTAAATAGGTCCAGAAAAAATAACAATGTGAACTTTCTTGTTCAAATTTTGTATTGATGTGATGCGTTCATTTGACCTAACAGCTCAGGCCGCTGGATGCGGCAAATCTATATTATAAGTGCGAAAGTACCTGTCTGTGTCGCTTTCACGCCTAAACCACTGGACCGATTTTGGTGAAATTTGACATAGAGATAGTTTGAGTCCCGGGAAATGACATAGGATAGTTTTTATCCCGGTTTTTGAAACAGGGACGCGCGCGATAATGTTTTTCTGTGACAGACAAAACTCCACGCGGGCGAAGCCGCGAGCGGAAAGCTAGTTCTTAAATAAAGCAAAAGACATAAATTATTGTTTAACTAACCTTCTCCATAACCCTGTAATTGACATACATCTTCCTGCACCAGTCTTTGCACGCCTTTCTCGCGCGTCTTTCGTCCGGCTGCGCGTCTCTCACTTTCACGAACGCGTCGTACACATTCAGGTACATTATTATGTCGCCTTCTGCTACCTGCAAAACAAATTAAACGTAAATTAAATACTCATAAATTCAAGTCCCAATTTCCAACTAGAAAGAATAATTTTGTATTAAAAAACTCATTTATTTATGCAAGTAGGCTTTAAAAAATCAATTTTATATAAAACCTTTTTCGACTTTTTTAAGCTTCAATGGAAATAAACGCTATGTTATTTTTTCTATAATTGTTCAATTTATTAATTAAGCTGTATTATTTGTTAAAAACGCATGCTATCATGTTTCTTGTTACTATCTACAGTCACTCTCCCTATCAGTGTGTGCGTGTGACTTGTATTTCGATTACCTTGTTATTCTTCTTTTTTGTGTTATAATATGACTATACGCCAATAACTTATGTCTATCGATTTTTCGAAATCGATAAGATTTCCAATTGGCCAAACTCTATAGCTATCAAACTCGAAACGTCACATAGATCATCAAAGGTGAAAAAGACTATAGACAGGCCGGTTCATCTCCGCGAGTTTACATCGAAAACAAAACACGCACGATGGCCCACCTACAGGATACTATTCGACAAGGCCTCACATACAAGCGAACATTGACTCACGCACGCGTATTCTTGTGTATGAGGGAAGAAAATAAAGAAAATGGTGTACTAAATATTGTGCAGTATTTAACTGCCTGAATAATAATAAAAACACAGAATGTACTTTTTTAAGTTGCCTCAAGACACTGAGAGGTAAATAAGTAGTTAATATTATTCATGATAATTCATGCTAAATCATGTATTTCCTCCGCCATTTTCCGCAGTTTGGCACCTCACGTCACATCATTTTACCGAAGTCAGCCCTATATAGTTCCAAAATACTGGACTGTCCTATCGATGACATTGACAGTGGGGCGCCACCGTCAATACCGGATCGCTGGTTCCGATTTTTGCCATGTTGGAAACCATATAGTTGAACGATGGTAGCGCCCCCCTGTCATTGAGTTTGGCGGGACAGTTCAGCGTGGGTCATCTATAGCTTCGGCGCAGTGCCGATCACTGACGTTTGTCAACAAAATGGTGCTTGACTCTTGAGACAAGCTAAATTACACCATATTGTTAATGACATTGAGCATACATTTTTTTAATACCTTCGCGAAGTAAAACTTCTGTACATAGTACTTATTATTATTCTGTGCTATAGAGCCGTATAAAATACCTCAAAGTTGTTCCTCCTCGCCATCCTAGCCGCGATATTCTCTTTGCCAGTACCTCCTTTAGCGAACGCGCTGTCTACCTGCAGCATAGCCGCTATGGACAGAGCCTCGTCTATGCACCCGAATTCGCCTGCGAAAATAAAAGAATATTTAAAATCATCTTGTTTTATAACGGCAACACAATCGGAAACCTAATGAGTAGTGTCCTAAACCTAATGTGTAGGTTTCGTTTTCGGTTGAGTTTCGGTAAAAACACGAGTTTCGGTTTAGTTTCGTTTTCGGCGGCAAACTTGCCGAAACTACGACCGAAACCGAATGTGCATTCGGGAGTTTCCGCGCTGTTATCGGTCATGTTCGGCGCGTTGAATGAGTGAATTATTTATTTATTTATTTCTCTCACAACATATTAGGAAAAACATTTCGTATAATGTATCTTTAACAGATATATTAGATTATCATTGTGAAAGCTGGTGCCTATTGTAGATTTTAAGAAAATCTGTATTACAGATTTTGATGATGATGATGATTATGAATCCATTCAGAGTCAATGTCGTGATTCGCTCGCTTGTTTGTTTGCTGTTAGTTTTGTTTTGTTGCGGTGGCGAGTTTTCGAGTGATTTGTTTTGAATTTGGTAAGTTTTATCTCGTTTTATGTCGTTATAACATAAGAGCGGGTAGTAAACATAAAAAAAAATATTCAATATGACTGATAAAAGTATAATCAAGTTTAATCTAACCAATAATTTTTTTTTGGGTTCGCAAATGCTATACGTAAACAAACATTAGTTAGGTAGTTAGTAATAGTAATGACTATAGTGCATTTCATGGTGATAATATTATGGATTCAGAGTTTCAAAGTTCATTTTAGTATTTATCACCAAGGTATCCAAGTGGCAGTAGTGGCAGTAGGTACCGACAGTAGATACTAACTTACGTACTACCAATTTTGTTTTGAGAAATTATTAAGGTAAAAGACCCGACCATGGGACGGGTTATGTAGATGTCCTGAATAATGCGAGTAATTAAAAAAAATGTAGACTATAAATCCTTCTTTTTCTTTTTTAATACATAATTTGACACCTTTTAGAGTAAAAAGGCGCTTTATAAGTTAAATTTTAATGCAATTTAAATTCAAATTCAAAATATGAGCCTTGTAAGGAAGTTTCGGTTTCGGTTTCGGTTTCGGCCGAAATAGACACCGTTGCCGAAATTCGTTTTCGGTTTCGGTTTCGGTCGTAAAACTAGTTTCGGTCGGACACTACTAATGAGACACATTTATGATTTATGTTACGAGATTTTTCCATATAATAGGAAGATAATTATTTAGATTTTAAGACAACAGTTTTTTTGCCAATCCAAAGAACATTCCACTTATACCTTTTGCATAGCAAAATAATACTTATTGCAACTGTATAAGATGGCTCATTGATTAAATTGATGTACATTCAAACTATTATGGCCATCACAAAAAATTCAAGTCGACTACAAATTGAAGACATACAACACCCAGACCTGTCCGTTTTATTTATGTAAAACATACAAGCACATTCACTTACAACATGTTGTAAAAGTAAAAAGTATAGTCCATGGTCTGATTTATTTATAGCTATTCTATAGTCTATGGAATCTCTCTGTATGTGGAATTTCGTAATGGCGACTACGAGTATAAGTCTTAAAGGCAGATCATCTTTTATTTATTAAAACATGGCTCCAGCGGTGGCTTTTGGGACATTAATAACAGAAGGAGACATTTGTGTCAACTGTCAATTCTTTTTATACTTTTTATAGAGCAGTTTTTTGAGTCAATTTTAATTTATTAATTCACACTCACCACTGTTACAAAGCATCTTCGCACACATAGGACTCAAAGGCAACTCGGCCATAAGCACTCCGATATCTGTGGTCAAATCCCCATGCTTGTCTATGGCCTTCAGAGCGTATAACGTTTCTAGACCAGAGAGAAGACTTTTGGCTGGTGGTGGCGTGGGGAATGTGAACCTGAAAGTTAAAAATAAAGCAAATAAACAATGTATTTATTTGCTTGGAATATATTAATTGTTTTAGTGACTGTTGGAGATTTGGAAAACACACAGTAGTGTTGCCGATCTATAGTCGACTATCGATAGTCTATCGATAGCCGAACTATCGCAAGACTATCGATAGTATCGATACTATCGATAGCTCAAAACGAGGCAATACTATTGAATATGTGCAATACTATCGATAGTATTGTTGCTCGTGAAGAATAAACTATCGCTAGTATCGATACTATTCAGATAATTTTACTATCGATAGTTCGGCAACACTAACACACAGCAAAGGGGTAAAAGTCATCCGTTCATTCTCAAATTAAAGAAAATAATGCAAAGATTCTCTTAAGATCCGTATCGATGTGTCAATGTCAAATCTTGTTTTTTAGGGTTCCGTACCAAAAGGGTACCTACTAACTTTTTCTTTTTTTCGTTTACAAATACATTAATAAAGGTGCATGGTAGCAATCCCGTTAATAATTATTATTTTAGGGTGGGTTGCACCATCTTACTATAACTTTGACAAACGTCAAATCTGTCAAATTCCATACAAAAAACAGCAGATATAGTTACGGTTAAAGTTAGATGGTGCAACTGAGCCTATTGGCACCTGTCAGGAACGGAACCTGTACTTACCGCAGTAAATTATGGATACCCAAGGCTTTCAGCTGCAACAGGACAGAGGATAAGTCGCTCCTGGATATTTCTGGCGGCACGCACGGCGGTAACTTGTCGTATTCCTCTTCTGTGTATAACCTGGAAATACATTAATATAACGTTAGCGTCTTGAATAAAAATAAGTTGGCTAGTGATGGCTTTTTAAAATCTGGAAAGCTTTGCAAAAAAATTATGCATTTTATTGTGTTAAACAGTTGCCTAGTTACGTTTAAAAATGGGCAATATTTCTTACTGAAGCCTGGTCCGTGAGCACGTAGAATTTTGTCCAATGACCCCAAGCTACCCATCCTTATCGCTCGCGCGTAATTATATTGCTGTCGCGACTGTGGGACGGGCGCCCGCAGTGAGTGTGCGAGCGTGACAGCAACATAATTACGTGCGAGCGACAAGGATGGGCAGCTTGGGGTCATTGGACAAAATTCTACGTGCTCACGGACCAGGCTTTAGCTATACCCGCGACTTCGTACGCGTAAATAGAATATTTTTTCCTGATTTAGCAACGTTTTTCTTTACTGAGTTTTATTAGTTTTTACTACCACCTCTATTTTCTGTAGAGTGATTTTATAATATAAAATTATGTAAAAGACTTCCTTGATAAGGCTATCCAACACAAAAATATTTTTTCAAATCGGAGTAGTTCCTGAGTTTAGCGCGTTCAAGCAAACCAACCAACTCTTCAGCTATATAATATTAGTTGCCAGTTGCCATACGTTATACGATATTCAGCCTTAGGGTGGTTATGGTTATTCCTGATCGAACTCCGTTAGAGTGGCGTGACACACACCGAAATTATTTTGCAAGCGCAACTTTAAGGCCTTATAACTTCTCTATTTGTAGAGATATTTTCATATTAAAAACTTCTCCAAAGTTGGAGAAGTTTCTAGGTCTAGGTCCTAGAGCATTTCCCGCGACTGGTCCTGCCCGCTGCGTGGTGTCGTATCTTGTCTTTTTCTCGCTCTCTTTCTCTCTCCCTTTCTCTATCTCCCTCCCTCTCTCTCTTACAACTCACCTGTAGTCATGCGCGTCTGGTCCTGCCCCCTGCGTGGCGTTGTTTCTTGTCTTTCTCTCTCTATCTCTCACTCTCTCTCTAACAAATTACCTGTAGCACTTCCCGCTTATAGTCCTGTTTCCTGCGTGGCGTTGTGTCTTGTCTCTTTCTCCCCCTCTCTCTTTATTTCTCTCTAGCAACTCGCCTGTAGCACTTACTTCCCGCTTATAATCCTGCCCATTGCGTGGCGTTTTTCCTGCTCTCTATCTCTCTCTCTCTCTCTCTCTCTCTCTCTCTCCCTCTCTCTCTCTCTCTCTCCCTCTCCTTTTCTTTTATTCATCTCTCGCTCTCTCTTTAGCAACTCGCCTGTAGTAATATCCGCGATTGGTCCTGGCCTGCTTCGTGGCATTGATCCCGGTCTCTCTCCCTCTATCTACTCCCTCTCCCTCCCTATCTATCTATCTCTAGCGACTCACCTGTAACACTTCCCTCGTGCAGTCCTGCCCGCGCGTCCCGCGCGCTGCGTGGCGTTGTTCTTGGATATTGGCGCCACGCTTATGCTGGCAACACCTACGTCCGGAGAGAAGTGAGGCAGCTTGTGGAACCCATTGTCTAGCACTGACTGACCCACTGACGCTCGCGGTCTCTTGCATCGGTCTCTGGTCTCCCACTCTCGGTCTCTTTCTCTCTCTCTCTAACGACTCACCGGCCGCGACTGGTCTTGCCCTCTTGTGTTGTCATTTCTTGTCTCTTTCTCTCCCTATCCCTCTGTCTTTATCTCTCTTTAGTAACTAGTCTGTAGTACTTTCCGCTTATAGTGCTGCTTCCTGCGTGGCGTTGTGTCTTGTCTCTTTCTCCCCCTCTCTCTTTATTTCTCTCTAGCAACTCACCTGTAGCACTCCCCGCTTATAGTCCTGCCCGTTGCTTGACGTTGTTCCTGCTCTCTCCCTCTCATTCTCTCTCCTTCCCTCTCTTTCTTTCTCTCTCTCTATATCTCTTTAGCAACTCGCCTGTAGTACTTCCCGCAACTGCTCCTACTGCGTTGCGTTGTTTCTTGTCTCTCTTTCTCCCTTCCCCTCTCTCTTCTTCTTCTTTCTCCCTCTCTCCCTATCTATCTATCTCTAGCGACTCACCTGTAACACTTCCCTCGCGCAGTCCTGCCCGCGCGTCCCGCGCGCTGTGTCGCGTTGTTCTTGGATATTGGCGCCACGCTTATGCTGGCTACACCTACGTCCGGAGAGAAGTGAGGCAGCTTGTGGAATCTAGCTTTGAAAGTAGCGCTCGCGGTCTCTTGCATCGGTCTCTGGTCTCCCACTCTCGGTCTCTCTCTCTCTAACGACTCACCTGTCACGACTAGTCTTGCCCCCTGCGTGGCGTTGTTTCTTGTCTCTCTATCAGAGTGAGGCAGCTTGTGAAACCCGCAGTCTAGCCCTGAGAGTAGCGGTCGCGGTCTCTAGTCTCTCACTCTCTTTCTCTCTCACTCTCTCTCTTTCTTTCTCACTCTCTTTTTCTCTCTCACTCTCTCTTTCTCTCTCACTCTCTCTTTCTGTCTTTCCCACTGTTTCCCTCACTCTATTTTTCGCTAGGAACTTGTCCATAGTACTTCCCGCGACTGGTCCTGCTGCTGCGTGGTGTCGTTTCTTACTCCCTACCTCTCTCACTATAGCAACTCCCCTGTAGCACTTCCCGCTTAAAATACTGCTTCCTGCGTGGCGTTGTTTCTTGTCTCTCTCTCTCCATACCACCTCTTTCTTTGTCTCTCTCTCTCTCTCTCTCCCTACCACCTCTCTCTCTTATCTTGCCCTCTATCTACAACTCACCTGTAGCACTTCCCTCGTGCAGTCCTGCCCGCGCGTCCCGCGCGCTGCGTGGCGTTGTTCTTGGCTATTGGAGCCACGCTCACAGTCGCCACGCCCGCGCTTGGAGAGAAGTGAGGCAACTTGTGGAAACCGCAGTCTGTCACTGAGAGTAGCTGTGTCTTGTGTCGGTCTCTTGTCGCGGTCTTTAGTGTCAGTCTCTCGTCTCGGTCTCTAATTTCTCACTCTATCCCCCTCTTTCTTTTTCTCTCTCCCTCTCTCTCTATCTAGCAACGTACCTGTAACACGCCGCGAGTCTTTCATCTCTTTCGCTAGTCTCGGTCCTAGTCTCTCGCTTTCTATCCCCCTCTTTCTCTCTCTCTCCCTCTCTCTCTATCTAGCAACGCACCTGTAACACTTGCCGCGACTGGTCCTGCCCCCTTATGTTGTCGTTTCTTGTCTCTTTCTCTCCCTACCTCTCTATCTCAAGAAACTCGCCTGTAGCACTTCCCGCGACTGGTCTTGCCCGCTGCGTGTATTTCTCTCTCTGTCTCTCTCTCTCTCCCTCTCTCTTTCTCTCTCTCTATCTCTCTCTAGCAACTCGCTTGTAGCACTTACTTTCCGCTTATAGTCCTGCTCGTTGCGTGTCGTTTTTCCTGCCCTCTCTCTCTCCCTCTCTCTCTCCCTACCTCTTTAGCAACTAGCTGTAGCATTCACCGCTTATAGTTCTGCTCCCTTCGTGTTTGTTCCCGGTCTCTGTCCCCCTTTCTCTTCTTCCTCTCTCTCCCCCTATCTATCTATCTCTAGCGACTCACCTGTAGCACTTCCCTCGCGCAGTCCTGCCCGCGCGTCCCGCGCGCTGCGTGGCGTTGTTCTTGGCTATTGGCGCCACGCTCACAGTCGCCACGCCCACGCTTGGAGAGAAGTGAGGCAGCTTGTGGAACCCGCAGTCTGTCACTGAGAGTAGCTGTGTCTTATGTCGGTCTCTTGTCTCGGTCACTTGACTCGGTCTCTTGTAGTGGTCTCTAGTCTCAGTTTTTAGTCTCGGTATGAAGTTTCGGTATCAAGTTGCGATCTTTGGTCTCTCGCTTTCTATCCCCCTCTTTCTTTCTCTCTCTCCCTCTCTCTTTCACTTCTCCCTCTCTCTTTTTCTCTCTTTAGCATCTCACCTGTAGTAGCGTTCCTCGCTTATAGTCCTGCTTCCTGCGTGGCGTTATTTCTTGTGTCCTTCTCCCCCTCTCTCTTTATTTCTCTCTAGCAACTCGCCTGTAACACTTACTTTCCGCTTATAGTCCTGCCCGTTGCGTGGCGTTGTTCCCGGTCGCTCTGCCCCTCTCTCTTCTCCCTTTCTCTCTCTCCCTCCCCCCTCTCTCTTCTCCCTTTCTCCCTATCTATCTATCTCTAATGACTCACCTGTAGCACTTCCCCTTTTGCAGTCCTGTCCATTTTGGAGTTGTCGGGCCTCTCGCCCCCTCTCTCTTATCCCTTTCTGTCTCTCTCCCTTCCTCTCTATCTATCTCTCTCTCCCTACCTCTCTAACTATAGCAACTCGCCTGTAGCATTTCCCGCGACTGGCCTTGCCCGCTGCGTGTTTCTTTCTCTCTATCTCCCTCTCTCTTTCTCTTTCTCTATCTCTCTTTAACAACTCGCCTGTAGCACTCCCCGCTTATAGTCCTGCTCCCTTCGTGTTTGTTCCCCGTCTCTGTCCCCCTTTCTCTTCTCTCTCTTCCTCTCTCTCTATATCTATCTCTAGCGACTCACCTGTAGCACTTCCCTCGTGCAGTCCTGCCCGCGCGTCCCGCGCGCTGCGTGGCGTTGTTCTTGGCTATTGGAGCCACGCTCACAGTCGCCACGCCCACGCTTGGAGAGAAGTGAGGTAACTTGTGGAACCCGCAGTCTGTCACTGAAAGTAGCTCTGTCTTATGTCGGTCTCTTGTCGCGGTCTTAGTGTCAGTCTCTCGTTTCGGTCTCTAATTTCTCACTCTATCCCCCTCTTTCTTTTTCTCTCTCCCTCTCTCTCTATCTAGAAAAGCACCTGTAACACGCCGCGAGTCTCTTATCTCGGTCGCTAGTCTCGGTCCTAGTCTCTCGCTTTCTATCCCCCTCTTTCTTTCTCTCTCTCTCTCTCTCTCTCAAACAACTCACCTGTAGGAGCATTTCTCGCTTGTAGTCCTGCTTCCTGCGTGGTCATTGTTTCTTGTCTCTCCCCCNTATCTTTGTCTCTCTCTCTCTTCCCTATCTATAGCGACTCACCTGTAGCACTTCCCCTTTTGCAGTCCTGTCCATTTTGGAGTTGTCGGGCCTCTCGTCCCCTCTCTCTTCTCCCTTTCTGTCTCTCTCCCTCCCTCTCTATCTATCTCTCTCTCTCTCCCTATCCATCTATCTCTAGCGACTCACCTGTAACACTTCCCTCGCGCAGTCCTGCCCGCGCGTCCCGCGCGCTGCGTGGCGTTGTTCTTGGCTATTGGAGCCACGCTCACAGTCGCCACGCCCACGCTTGGAGAGAAGTGAGGCAGCTTGTGGAACCCGCAGTCTGTCACTGAGAGTAGCTGTGTCTTATGTCGGTCTCTTGAGTCGGTTTCTAGTGTCAGTATCTTATCTCGGTCGCTAGTCTCGGTACTAGTCTCTCGCTTTCTATCCCCTTTTTCTTTTTCTCTCTCCCTCTCTCTCTATCTAGCAACGCACCTGTAACTTGCCGCGACTGGTCATAACCCCGGCATGAAGTTGTTTCATGTCTCTCTATCTCTCTCTCTAACAAATTATCTGTAGCACTCCCCGCTTATAGTCCTGCCCGTTGCTTGACGTTGTTCCTGCTCTCTCCCTCTCATTCCCTCTTTCTCTCTTTCACTTCTCCCTCTCTCTTTTGCTCTCTTTAGCATCTCACCTGTAGTAGCGTTCCTCGCTTATAGTCCTGCTTCCTGCGTGGCGTTGTTTCTTATCTCTGTCTCTCCCTACCACCTCTCTCTTTGTCTTGCTCTTAATCTACTATCACCTGTAGCACTTCC